CTGTCTATCCCTCTGCTCTCTGTTTCAGGAGGGGCCAAGATGGGTAACCTTTATCACATCTTTAAGCGAGTATGTACTTTGTCTGGGGTTTTTTGGGTTTTTTCCCGGTAATTTAATATGTAATTGTATTTTGTGTACCGTGAGACAGGTAGAAAACGGTAGAAAGAGATGAGAAGGTGGACAGAGACGTAGAGACAGAGAAAGATAGACGACACAGATAGAGAAGAGAGCAGACAGAGATAGACATAGTAAGACGACAAAAGGGAAAAAGGCCGGGCCGCCAGCGCGGCGCCCGCCCGCTGACCCGTGGGCCGCCAGCTGCCCTGGCCAGCCAGTAGAATTGTTTCCTTTTTTAGGGCATAGGTTATAAAACATTTTTAAAAGGGGGTTGCACATATGTTGCACAAAGTTGCAATGGGTTTTTTTGAGATTTTTTGATATTTCATCGACCACTTATGGCCACATCCACCTCAAAGCCACTAAACTCGGGGTCAAAATCACTTTCCTCTTAAATTATTTTTTTAATTAACATACTGGCCAATTCCCACCAAGGCAGGGTGGCCCGAAAAGAAAAACTTTCACCATCATTCACTCCATCACTGTCTTACCAGAAGGGTGCTTACACTACAGTTTTTAAACTGGAACATTAACACCCCTCCTTCAGAGTGCAGGCACTGTACTTCCCATCTCCAGGACTCAAGTCCGGCCTGCCGGTTTCCCTGAATCCCTTCATAAATGTTACTTTCCTCTTAAAATGTTAGAGTTAATACTACATGAAACCAGTGAATCCCAGGTGTTTGCTGCGCTGTTTGCTCTACCTGGCACTCATTTGAACTGGTGCTCCCACAAGGTACTAAGTGGTCCCAGATTTTTTTAATACTGCACACAGAGTGTGAGGACCCATTCTATGCTGACAAGGCATCTCAGGCCAATCGTGCCAAATTTGAAGGCAGGAAAAATAAAACGTATACAGTGGACCCCCGGTTAACGAACTTTTTTCATTCCAGTAGTATGTTCAGGTGCCAGTACTGACCGAATTTTTTCCCATAAGGAATATTGTGAAGTAGATTAGTCCATTTCAGACCCCCAAACATACATGTACAAACGCACTTACATAAATACACTTACATAATTGGTCGCATTTGAAGGTGATCGTTAAGCGGGGGTCCACTGTATATACGTTTGGGGCACTAGCGGTAAAAACGTATATATACGTTTGGACCGTTTACGGGTTAAGAGTATGATAGGGGGCTCACCTGTTATGCTAAACAGCTCAATTCAACCCACCAATCATGAGGAAATTGTGAAGCGATGTCTGGGACTGGTAAAACAACATTGGCAGACTTACCTCTCGAATCTGGATGCTGACAGGTTCTCACTGTGTCTCTTGCTTGCAAACTTTTTATTCTCTACACAGTGTACATGCATTTTATATATACTTGCACTCATATTTGGTGAAGGAAAATTATTATTATTTATTATCACACTGGCCGATTCCCACCAAGGCAGGGTGGCCCAAAAAAGAAAAACTTTCACCATCATTCACTCCATCACTGTCTTGCCAGAAGGGTGCTTTACACTACAGTTTTTAAACTGCAACATTAGTGTAAAGCACCCTTCTGGCAAGACAGTGATGGAGTGAATGATGGTGAAAGTTTTTCTTTTTCGGGTCACCCTGCCTTGGTGGGAATCGGCCAGTGTGATAATAAATACATTAAGTATTTACTCTTTGCTGACTTTTTGCTCATTCCCACTTTAGTTATCATGCTGATGCAATTACTAGCAGGTGTACAGGACACAAGACTACACCTGTGCGTAATACTGATCAATCAAGCTGTTAGTGCTTGCTGCATCAAGTCCCACATATGCTCTAATGACTATTTTATGCAAGTAGAAACGTACATTATAATCAAATAAAGTGCTAAACCAACAAAGGTCACGCAGCTTAGAAAAGTGCAAAGAGCTTTACAAAGTTATTTATATATTATAAACTACAACATTTTCCTTCATAACTGAGACACTTTTAACACAATAACTTTGTCCACAACAGGAATTACAAAAAAAAAAAAAAAATGGAAAATTAACATGAGGTAAAAGCAGAAATGAACAAAGGGGGTGAAAGTAAGTAAGGTGGGTAAAACAGGGATCAATAAAAAATAATTCAACTGATAAACATGACTTTTTAGTCAATAATCAATGGGATAAAATACACCTATCTGAGCAACAAAATTCCCATTGGGATTGTCTGGAGCTTCAAGACAAACACATCAGATTCTACATTCTTGGTTAACTTTGTCTTACTATAGATATTATTAACAAACTAGTGTTCATTTTCAGATTTTGAGAAGCTGCTCTACAAAGTTAAATGGCTGATTTTTTTCTGTCATTGAATTGTATGACAATGTAGTTGTTCCTATGCAGGTGCAACATCGAGTTATCTAATTCCCACTCTCGTCCTCCTTCTTACCCTCATCTTCACTAAGTTCAGATGATTGTTTTTTAGTCATCTGTATCTGTATACAAAAGAGTCCCATTTTGCAGTGGTTCACTTTACAACGTACCTTTACCACTTACCTTTGATGAGTTTCGAGTCTTTCTACCCCCCGAGCCCAGCTATGGGCCAGGCTTGTCTGGTGCTAGCCTGGTCATTCAGGCTGATGGTGCTGAAGGCCCGGTGTCCCACATATCCATCACAGCCTGGTTGATCTGGAACTTGGCGAAGATACTTGTCCAGTTTTCTCTTGAAGACTTCTACACTTGTTCCAGAAGTATTTCTGATATCTTCCATTAAGATGTTGAATAATCTGGGGCCATGAATGCTGAAATCATGTTCCCTTATTGTGCCCACTGCACCCCTGCTTTCACTGGGCTTATTTTGCACATCCTCCCATATCTCTTGCTCTAATATGTTGTCATGGCAGGGCACAGATTTGGGACCAGGCCCTCAAGTACTGTCCAGGTATGTATTACCATGTATCTCTCTACTCCAGTGAGTGCATATTCAAGATTTTAAAGCATTCCCAGTAATTTAAATGCTTTACTGGCTCTATGTGGGCTGTAAATGATCTCAGTATTTGTTGAAGCTCTGCTATTTCTCCTGTCCTGAACAGGGCCATCAACACTAAGTAATAGTCCAAATGAGAGAGAACTAGCAATTTGAAGAGTGTCACCACTGGCATTATTTCCCTTGTTTTGAAAGTTCTCAATACCCACCCCGTCATCTTCCTGGCTAATGTGATCTTTGAAAGAAAGGTCAGCTGACATAATTATTCCCAAGCCTTTTGTGTGTTCCTTTCATTCTATTTGGTGATCCTCTTGAGTGTTGTATATAGTGCTCCTTTTGAGTTCTTCATTCTTTCCATACCTCAGCAGCTGGAACTTATCACCACTGAACATCACACTGTTCCTCACTGCCCACCAGAAAACACTGCTTATATCTTCCTGCAATTTTTCAGTGTCTATCATGCTTATTTCAGTGTCATCTGCAAATGATGATACAAAACTGTGATGGGTGTTTTTATTTTTATGTCTGTTATGAGGATGAGAAACAGGGGAGGAGGTGGGACAGTGCCTTGGGGCACTGAGCTTTTACCTCACTGATGCTGGATTTTGCTCTGTTTAATACTACTTTTTGTGTTGTGTGTGTTAGGAACCTGAAAATCCAACTGCCTACCTTCCCTGTAATGCCTATGGCCTTCATTTTGTGTGCTATCAACCCATGATCACATTTGTCAAATGCCTTTGCAAAATCAGTGTAAATCACATCTACGTTTTGGTTGTCTTCCAACACCTCCGTAATTCTGTCATAATGGTTCAGCAGCTGTGACAGGCATGATCGTCCTGCTCTAAAACGATGCTGCTTTAGGTTATGCCAGTTGTGCTGGTCCATGAAATTTGTAATCTGCCATCTCATCACTCTTTCGAAGTTTTTTATAATCTGTGAGAAGTGAGGGCTACTGGTCTATAATTTTGCTCTACTATCTCCTTTATGCAAAAGAGATATGTCTGCACTCTTTAATTAAGGTCTCCAGTATTTTCCCTAGATCTAGGCTCTTTCTCCAAAGAATACTGAGGGCTTGTGCTAGTGGTATTTTGGACTTTTTAACAAATAGGGCATTCCATGAATCTGGTCCAGGTGCTGAGTGAGTGGGCATTTCACTAATGCAACAGTTTTCAATTATACCCATTCTTCACTTATTCAGACTTCCTACAATAATCACCACTCACTATAAGCTAAGGATGAAAATATTTTAAGGTAAGTAATATGTCCGCCCAGGGAGGTACTACCGTCCTGCCAAGTGAGTGTAAAACGGAAGCCTGTAATTGTTTTACATGATGGTAGGATTGCTGGTGTCCTTTTTTCTGTCTCATGAACATGCAAGATTTCAGGTACGTCTTGCTACTTCTACTTACACTTAGGTCACACTACACATACATGTACAAGCACATATATACACACCCCTCTGGGTTTTCTTCTATTTTCTTTCTAGTTCTTATTCTTGTTTATTTCCTCTTATCTCCATGGGGAAGTGGAACAGAATTCTTCCTCCGTAAGCCATGCGTGTTGTAAGAGGCGACTAAAATGCCGGGAGCAAGGGGCTAGTAACCTCTTCTCCTGTATATATTACTAAATGTAAAAGGAGAAACTTTCGTTTTTCCTTTTGGGCCACCCTGCCTCGGTGGGATACGGCCGGTGTGTTGAAAGAAAGAAGAAAGAAGTAATATGTGTACTGTACATGCATTTTTTTGGCCTAGCTCTACTACTCACTTAATATATGGTAGTGTAAACATTCTATCAGGCTTTTATATGCATTTGAAATTGAAAAAAGGCAATGTTTCACCTTACAGCAATTTTCACTTTGCAGCAGTAGCCAGGAACCTAACTTGCTGTATAAGCAGGGCTCGACTGTACTATAAATATCCTCTTTGTAGGGAGACCCAAATAAACACAAGAAGATGAAAAAGTACAGATACCCTACATGGGACTGTCTTGATCCTACCTGTGTGACCTGCTTGCTTGGAGATCATCTTAGAAAGCTGAATGAAGAGGAAAAAAAGATGGCTGTCTGTGCAGAGTTCTCGCACAGCTGAGTGAGCGTCTGTCACTAGTTTGGTCTGACCGCTCTGTTTGGATGCAACAGCCAAACACAACACCTGCAAATATACAAATTATTTAACAAGGAAAATGAAAAGAGATGACATAAGGCCCTGATTTAATGGATTTCAGATTTAATGGACAAAATCTGTAACAAAATAACTATCAGAAACAATAGACAGTTTGTTAAACCCATTTCATATTAATAGACAATGTTTGTTAAGTTAGAATTGTCCACTATTGTTATAAACATAGAAAATAATCTCATAATTGGGATTTAATGAACAAGCAGTCTTAACCATTTAACTGTGACCGACATACTAGTACACAGGTGGTGGTATCGTGTCCAATGTACACTGTACTAGTATGCACCATATGCACCATTTTTCAGACCCACAAATCTGCCATCTACAAACATTTTTTTACCTCAGGTCAACTCTTTGTGTCTTCTTCCATTCATTCATATATCTAAGAAAACTCTAAGACCTGGAGGGTGCACAAATTTGTATCACAGATAACTACTCAGGGGATGACTGTGTGTCCTATGTACTACAGCCTCTCCTTACTTTACGACGGAGTTCTGTTCCTAAGACCACATCGGTAAGCGAATTCGTCACTAAGTGAGGAACATACTAGTACAGTGGACCCCCGCTTAACGATCACCTCCAAATGCGACCAATTATGTAAGTGTATTTATGTAAGTGCGTTTGTACGTGTATGTTTGGGGGTCTGAAATGGACTAATCTACTTCACAATATTTCTTATGGGAAAAAATTCGGTCAGTACTGGCACCTGAACATACTATTGGAATGAAAAAAGTTCGTTAACCGGGGGTCCACTGTATAATGGTAGTGGGTTTATGTCAACCATCTTTGATATTGTTTTAATGTGACCTTTGCACCATTTATAACATTTCTGGTATATTTTTAAATGTTTATACAGTAGTGTACTGTATTTTGTAATAAACAGAATAGAAGAAATCGGGTCTGATATACATTACATATTTAGATATGCGTACCGGTCAGAGAGCCCGTCGTAAGTCCGAGTCATTGATAAACGAGTACGTTGCTAAGTGAGGAGAGGCTGTAGTAAGCCTAGTTAGCAAAAGTAAACAAAGGAACCAGGAGCTGTTGTTCCACCACCAGGTTCCCCACCAGCAAACAGTGTGTGCAAGTGGCTCAAAGATGACTTATTCAGTCCAAATTTGTTATAACTTCATAATACTAACAGTGGAATTCAGCCACAAAACACACTGGGTATATAACCCAGTAAAGTCAGTGTGAATAATTTCCATGTTTTGATGAATAATACACTGAAATAATTGTAATGTTATAAGTACAGTGGAACCTCAGTTGTCGTATGCCTTACTTGTCGAACAAATTGGTTTTCGAATGAAGAATTGAACAAAAAAATGTCCTGGCTTTCAAACGTTCTCTTGGTCGTCAACGGACAACGTGAACGAGACAAAGCGGGGTCTCAGTCAGTATAGCCACTAACTTGTGTGCTGTAAACATCTCTTGTTTTTGTTACTGTACTTTTATTATTGGTGTAATTTTTTTTATTGTGAGATAAGCCATCATGAGTCCAAAGATGGATAATGAGATGAAAGCAAAAAGAAATGTTGTAAAAGCCACTGTTGAATTTAAAAACAAAGTTATCCAAAAGTATGAATGTGGCATGCAAAGAGTATGTTACAATTTATTTATAAAGGACCCCAATAGAAATAAGTCTGTCTGACATATTTGGGTTATCCTAGGTTCTCTACACATATGCTGTTATGTATGATAATCTATGTAACTGTATTTGTGTATACCTGAATAAACTTACAGTCCCATATAGGCTGCCTCCCAACCAGTGAACCAGGTGGTAAGGGTTTAACAATCAATAGGGTACCATCATTAAATCAGTATCTTAGTTCATTGGCCAATCACAGTCAAGCTGAAGCAATGTGGTTCACTTGTGGCAAGCATCAGCAGACTTGTGTAGCTGCTGGCTGAGCATGGTGCACACTCTCTGCCTTCTGCTTCGTCATCTGTCACTGTGGTTTACACTTACTATCTGTACATATTGTACAAAGTGTACACACCTGTATATATCATCTGGTGATTTACCTGGAGTTTACCTGGAGAGAGTTCCGGGGGTCAACGCCCCGGCGGCCCGGTCTGTGACCAAATATACATTATAGCCTACTGTTGAGTTTTGCTTGCTACACATTCCCATTACAACCAGGTCTCACAGGCCCTTCTTTACCCGTGTTTGTAATAATGAAGAAGATAGGCTCAGTGTGGTTGATATAGCAAAACTTTTTTGGTGAATCAGCATCTACTAGCAACATGATATTGGGCCAAAGGGAAAAAATTAAAGCAGCTGACCTTGCAAAAGGCGCAAAAGTGATATCAAGGCAAAGGCCACAAATGAAGAGGAGGGAAGAGATGATATGTGCTAAAGTAGCTGAAAAATACCATCCAGACAAAGCAGCAGCCATCTGTCTCTTTAACATATACAATGACAGTGTAATGTCTCAATTCAGACAAGTGTTAAAATGGAGCCTGAAACAAACCTCACTGGACAGGTTTTTAGGGAGACAACAAACTAGTGAGCCAGAACAAGGTGTCAGTGGTGAAAAGAGACAAAGAAGAGAAACAACACCAGAAAGAGACCTGCCTCATTCTCCTTCCAAGCAGTAACATACCACCTTCTCTCCTCCACCTCCTGCTTCCAGTATGCCATTAGCTCTCCTCTGACAGGTAAGAGGCAGTTAAATTTTCATTTACTGTACAGTATTTGGGTTAAAGCTTCTTTTAGTATTTATTTTTACAGTTTTATGTAGTAGCTAGTACAGTTTTAATAAATTATATACAGATCGGCCATCACTAATCCGGCATCATTGGGACGTGTAGTGTGCAGGATTAGCGAGTTTGCCGGATTACAGAGTGGTTAGGTTATAATACACTTAATTAACCTATCAACAGAGACTCTTTCTGCTACATCTTCCTCATTTTCATCACTGCTTTCTCCTCCACTGGCTTGCTGCTGTGGATTTACAACCATCTGCACAATTTCTGAGTCAGTATAATGATGAAATTAGTCAGTATAATGATTTGAGTCAATATAATCATGAAATTTGAAATTATGCTAGCCAAAATTAGTGCTTGATTACTGATGGAACCGGATAACTGATTGCTGGATTAGTAATGGCCGCCTGTATTGTCATTTGGGGTCTGGAACATATTAACTCTATTTACATTATTTGTTATTGGAAAAATTGCCTTGGTCGTCGTCCATTTTGGACGACAACCAACGTTCCAGTGTATTCATTATTCATAGCCTTAGAAGACCAAAATAGTAAAAATAATATAATAAAATAACAACTATAACGTACGCATATATTCTGTACATATAGTAAAATCAATAAACTAACACTTAATATAGACAAAACTTTCTATATTATGTTTGGGAACAGAGCAAGTGAGGTCCAACTAAACACTATGCTTAACGTCCTTATTGCTAAACATAATGAGGGCAAATTCCTGGGTCTGCACCTCAACAGCAACCTGAAATTCAACACCCATATCCAACATATAAAACAGTTGGCGACCTCTCAAAGATATGTTACTTTGTACCACAAACAGCACTACTTACACTATACTATTCACTGAGCTATCCCTACCTCACCTATGGTATTTGTGCCTGGGGATCCACAACAACAAATTATCTAAAGCCAATAATAACCCAACGAAAAGGCTGCAGTGCAAATGGTCACACAATCCACAGCTAGACAACACCCTCCCCCCCACACTCTTCAAACACCTAAACCTACTCACTATACTACGGTGCAACTTACATTTACAGAATAATCAATTCTAATAATTCTAATATTAATCCCAACCTGAAGTGCTTTCTTGACAGTCGCAATAGGACCCAAAGACATAACACTAGGCACAAAAATCTTTATGACATTCCTCATGTCAGGTTAAATCTTTTCAAAAACTCAATGTACATAAAAGAGCCCAAAATCTGGAACTCTCGCCAGAAATCTCCAGAACCAATAACTCAACTTTCATTTTTAAAACTACAGCTAAAAAATACCTTATCTCCTTAACCTATCGCAGCCCATCATAAATACATGTGTAAAAATTATACATGCATTTGCTCAATATTATAAACATAGGTAAAATATTATAATCAATATTTACTTAATCCTCTCAAATTTTAATTATTCCATTGTGTCCACCTTAAGATAATCAAAATTCTTCTCTACCAAACTTATTAAAGTCATACAGCATAAACTAACAGAGTATTCAATTTTGTTGTATTCACTGTGACTCACTCAATGACCATATGTACAAATTTACTCCACTGTTATTACCTTATTAATCTTAAGTTAGTTTTAAGTTTGCCCAAAATGCTCTGCATATAAAGGGGCTTTTGGCATGTACACCCAATTGTTATACTCCTTTGTACAAACATGTATCATACTAAAATAAAATTATTATTATTATTATTATTATTATTATTATTATTATTATTATTATTATTATTAAAGTCAATATTGCTTAATTCCATGTTTTGAGGAGTATTACACTCTGAAACAATTGTAGAAGTATTCCTTGAACATAGCCTTAGAAAACCAAAATAGTAAAAAAAAAAAAAATAATAAAAATTATTCATACCGTACATACACTGATTATTCCAAGTGAAGCAATGTTTAACCCTTTGACTGTTTCCGACGTATAAATACGTCTTACGAGCCAATGTTTCTGACGTATTTATACGCATAAATTCTAGCAGCTTCAAATCAAGCAGGAGAAAGCTGGTAGGCCCACATGTGAGAGAATGGGTCTCCATGGTCAGTGTGCACCATATAAAAAAAAATCGGGGAGCCAGTGGTGCATTGTGGGAATGCCATTTCAGTTGTCATTTTTCAGCATGTCTAGCGGTAAGAAATATGTGATTCCCCAGCAAATCTGGGACTCTTCTCTTCCCAAGTGATGCTCTAACACAGATGGAAGTGTCAGTGAAGATCAATTTCATGATTTGGAGGAGTTTGAGACCAAAA